GCTTCTGCAAAAATTTCTTTTGAAGAAAGGATTCAATTGCTAACAGATGTTCTGAAATCCCTGATAGTATATTTTATATTTTGTCAACAAAATGCACTGACCTTGCCTCATTTGACCTTTACAGTCCCCTGAAGCAGGTAGGGTTTGGGGGTGTTCGATGACCAGGGGGAGATTGAGCCTGGAACAGCGCCTCCCTATAGCTGTGCTCATTCATATTCACAGGATGAATGAAGGAAAAACTGACGAGGAATGGTGAGAAATACCAAGCTGTTATACTGTGTTGTAGAATTAAGCCTGGAGACCCGATTGATTCCATTGTCTGCCCTTCCATGGCTCAGAGATGAATGAGCTCTGGCCCAAGCCCAGCCCTTGAGGAGCCAGCAGCCCCAGTACATTTGGATAGTCACCAAGTAATGTAAAGCAAGGGGTTGTGTGGAGAAGAGGGGGAGAGCCGGGGTGGGGAGGAGAGGAAGGGAGGCAAGGGAAGAAGAGGACAGGATGCACACGCTTCTTCTCACCAAGCTTCACCCTAAAGGGGAGAGCTTGGGGACATTCTCACTGACCAGCCTCACTGAGCAATGGGCAAAGATGGACATTTGAAGTCTGTGCACAAAGGAGCTTGGCTTAGATACAAGACTCTGTTCTATCTTTTACTTCCCCTTTCTTTTCCTTCCCATCCCCCTGTTCCCCTGTACTGCCACGCTCATGAATCAGTACTTTCCAATAGATGTAGAAGTGTAGCAGGGGAGATTTGAGTTATATTTTAGAGAGAGCTAATATAATTCCTTCATAATCTAGATATAATCTAACTTTCCCCAGCCTCATCCCCTACTTCTCCTTTCTTTCCTCCCTTACCCCTAGCTCTACCACCCTCACCATCCTCCCTTATCCCTGACCTTATGACCCTCACTGTGGCAGTTTTAAAACACGTCTGCAAATTTTGGGCCCTCTTGTCATGGAGAGGTAGAGTCTGTGTCTCCTCCCACTGAGCTCGAGTCACACTTGGAGACTAGCTAACCTATAGAATATAATTAAGGTGATGCTCTGGGACTTCCATGGCAGACCATGAAAGGCAATACAATAGCCACTCTATTCTCCTGGGATTCTAACTCCTGGAGCCCAGCCACCGTGCTATGAGAACACCCAAGCAGCCTGCAAAGTGAAAGTCAGAGCAGGCCATGCGGAGAAAGACTGAGTCCCATAGCTCTCAGCCCCAGCCGAGTTCCCAGCTAACAGCTGGCACCAGCTAGCCAGATATGCAAGTAAACTCCCCCAGACATGGGTCCTCCAGCCCCATTAAGCTATCTCTGCTGGCACTGCATGAAGAGTCTCCCTGCTGGGCCCTGCCCCAAAAACACATTCATAAACTAAAGAAAATATTGCTTTTATTTTAAGCCACTAAGTCTAACTTAGCATGCAGTTATGGGTAACTGATATTCTCACTATTTTCCAACAAGTATATACAGCATAACATGCCCCTGGTTCCCTTCTTTTGTTGCTTCTGTTTCCTGTATGCTGCAGGGGCCTTCTAACCATCTGTTGAGGAGTCTCCAATTGGTGAACTCGTGGTTATCATTTAAAGCCCAGTTCAGGGATCCCTGGGTGGCGCAGCGGTTTGGCGCCTGCCTTTGGCTCAGGGCGCAATCCTGGAGACCCGGGATCGAATCCCACGTTGGGCTCCCGGTGCATGGAGCCTGCTCCTCTCTCTGCATGTGTCTCTGCCTCTCTCTCTTTCTCTGTGTGACTATCATAAATAAATAAAAAATTTTAAAAATCCATATTAAAAAAAATAAATAAAGCCCAGTTCAAATGCCTCTTTCACTCTGAAGGCTTCCCTAAAACTTCCCTCTTCTTTTTTCCCCACCACGGAAAAAATAATGCTCCCTCTACTATTTTGCCAAATACCTCACTTATGCATCTCACAACCCAACTTGCTTTAGCAGAGTGTTTGTTTGAGATTGGCCTCCCTGCATAGACTCCAAGCATCTACTTCAAGCACCCTGCCAGCCTTCATGCCATCTCCATGCATCACATCTCAAGGATCTGGTGAGGGGACGGACTCCATGAAGATGTCCTAGGAAAGTGAGTTATGTTGTATTAAATTGTGAGGGTTTCGAAATGAAAGATGGACCAAGAGAAAGTCAGAATACTCTTTCCCATATGGCTCTTAAAATAAAGCCACAACATAAGTTCCCTCCTAGCTGGCAGGAGGGAAGCTAGGGAAGCTCTGTCCCAGTGTCCAGCTAAAGGATGAGTCTCTGTAGGTTCTGAGTTTCAAAGACCTAGCTTAAGGCCTGATCATTCCCTCAGCTCTATGCTCTGCTTCCACACTTCATTTTCTTCTGCTAAGAAATCCCTTATCTGAAGTTCCTGGGCTCTTGAAGTCCTCTGCCCTCCCCCATGTCCTCTGCCCCCACCACAATCCCTAATATGTCACAACAGCCACAGCATACCTCTAGGCCATGGTCCTAATGACCCAAAGGGTGTCAGAGTAACAACGCACACAAAGCAATATATTTCAGAGTCATTTTTTAAAGATTTTATTTATTTATTTATTTATTCATGAGACACACACAGAGAGAGGCAGAGACTCAGGCAGAGAGAGAAGCAGGCTCCTCACAGGGAGCCCGATACAGGACTCAATCCCTGGACTAGGATCATGTCCTGAGCCAAAGGCAGATGCTCAACCTCTGAGCCACCCAGGCATCCCTTCAGAGTCATTTAAAAGGTGTTTCTCTCAGGACAGCTGATTAGGCACTTGTAGGGTGAACTACCTTAGCAGATCTTTCAAAAGACATCACATTAGAACAGCAGTGTTTTCCTTTACAAGAACTCGAGGTCTTTCCCAACAAGTCTGAAGGGCTGGGTGGGGTCCAGGCCACTACTGCATCTGTGAAATGAGCAATATGAGCACAGGTAGAGTTTTCTTTCAAAGCAGCTTCCACGCTTAGCACACTGGAGGCAGTCAGAACCTTCAATGAGCAGATGCCAGAAAGGGGGTGAGGGGCCAGGTTCTGTGGGGTCAGAAGCTTGCATAATTTGGGGGTGGTTATTTGCAGTAGAAAAGGAATACAAATTATAAATATAAAAGTAGACATAAAATGAATATTTAGAATAAAAATAGCTCAAAATAATACATTTTAAGGTGATGAATACCACAAAAGTCATAAACCCTAGAAAAATTACGGATTCTTCTTATTTATTAATGGCCCCACATGCCCATGTAGCACTTTTTTCTAAATTTGCTATGATTTGTAATCCAAAAAAGATGGAAAACTCATCTGAGATTAGGCATTCACAGGAACAATTCAAATGCATATAAAAAGTTGCTGCCACATTAAATTGACCAAATAATCATGCAACCAGATTACTCTGATGCTACACACTGACTTATTGATGACTACGTGTAGGAGTTTTGTCACTAAGAACACTTGCTTCTTCAGGCATTTCTCTGCGTTGGTGGCAATCCGTGTGCCATTTCGCTGGAACCAGCAGATTTCATCAGGACATCATCAGACACCCTGAGAGGCACTCTGATCCACATCCGTGCACCCTAAGACTTCCCATGCTGTGCTCAGGTGGCACCACTATCAGACCGGACCACAGACCCAAGGATTGTGGCCAAATTCTGTTTTGTGTAATCCCCATCAAAAGAGAAGAAAACATAGGACGTGTTTGTAATTACATACATTCAACATGAACTACTTTCCTAACCCGAGAGAACTGTGTTGGCCGGGCCTTGATCAGAACCACAGCCTCTGCTGGTGATATTACTGGCCTCATCTTCAGAAGAATCTGCCCAACTAATTTCTGGCTCAGTGTGCTCCAAACCGCATTCTTCCTTGCCCTCCCACATGCTCCCAACAGGGGGTGCTGTGGGACATTCACCCCGGGACAACCGAAGGCTGCCCCTGTCCTGATGCGTAGGGCTGGCCCTGGCAGTAATAAGAGTGTTTCTGGAAGCCATTCCGACACCCAGATGCTTGCAGATAACTTGTCTAGGCAAGGAAGTGGCAATGAGCTACAGAAATATATCCCTCTAAGCTCAAATTAAATGTTACCCCAATTCAATTTAGCTGGATCCCCAAAATGCCCACAGGCACTCAAACATCACCCAAGGAACAGAAAATGAGACAGAGAAGTTGGAATGGAAAGAGGCAGAGCTATTAACCGCTTGTAGTTGGACTATCTTACTTCAGCATGTATTACAGAAACATTCGGGGGGATGGGGGTTGGCGTCCAGCTTCCCAGCAAATACGTGCCCCAGCATGTGCGGGCCGTGGGGGCCAGAGGGTGTTGACATTATCGACAAATTCGTCAAAGGCAGCAGACTTGGAGACATGAGTCCCAACTCGGTCACCTAGCCTCCCTCAAGGGCCCCCTGAAAACAGGGATGGTGACACTGACCTCCCAGGACGACTCTGGGGTTTAACACGCCAATTTATTACATCTCCTGGTAAGCAGGAGTGCTGGACAAATGTCTCCTGTTGTTTTCGGATCAGTGTCACTCCTCCCCTTGGGTCCAGAAGGAACAAGTCTACAGGATTGAGTCTGCCTCTTTAAGGTATGAGGTTGTGCTCTGACCCCTAATGAAACAACGGAGCCCTGTCCTCTGGAATCAGGGTAATCCTGCTGAGGTCACTTCTGCACTTCCTCCTCCCTGCTGTCAGGCAGCGGATTAGAGGAGAGGCCAGTGGATTAATGGTTTTGTCACAACCATCCCCATCCCCCGCCCCAGCCACCAGGCCCTCCTGGAGCCTGCTGGTCAGGTGGGGTGGCTCCTCTATGCACAGCTCTCTTCAGGGCAGAGAGAAGCCCCAGTTCCACCAACCATCACAGCCAAGACCAGACTGAAAGCTGGGGAACCCCAGGCTGGCCAGGACTCAGAAGGCAGAAGGCCTGGGGACATCCCAAGGACCTGGGGGACGAGTGGACGGAGCTGATGGTCAGAGGCTGCCCTCTTCTCTCCCTCCCTTCACGCTGAGCCCAGTGAAGACACCATGTGGGGACTCCTGAGGTTCCACCTAGACATCAGCACCCTCCATGGTGGGAGGCCCTGCTGCCAGGGGCCAGCGGCCTGCATCTCCCTGCAGAAGACTGCAGCCATCCTGTGCCTGCTGCTCTGCAGCACCTCCTTGTCCCCCACACGTGGGCAGACCAAGATTCCTCTGGAAACGTAAGCATCAATTTCAGCGCCCCCCTAAACTCCTCTGGCCCTGTCTTCCCCTCCTTCCCCCTGGAGAGCTCCGTCCTCGGCCCGCGGGTCCTACCCCTGACCTCCGGCCTCCCTCAGAGCTCTCCCCTCAGGGCACTGCCTGCTGCCCCCCTTCTCCCCACCTGACTCCCATTCTGGAGCCCCTCCTGCCACCCCTCAGACACCCAAGGGTTTCAGGCACAGCGATCATGAGGGCCCTGCCTCCTCAGGATGGCAAGCAGCACACCTCGAGCACCTGCAGGCCTGAGGGATGCTCCTTCCAGGATAATCGCTGTGATTAGGCCACTGGCAGTGGGAGTTGGGCTGGCTCAAAATGATCAAGGACTTGTGAGGAAATTTGACACCCTGAGAGGGTAAAGTAGTTTTAAACTGGCTCATGCAGCGAGGAACTGAGTAAAATCAGACTTTGGTCGTATTAGTCTTTCCTTTCTGCCTCCTTCCAGGCCCCCTGTCACTCAGACCAGCTCCAAGAAAAAATAATCTGCTGTCAGTCATTTACACTTTAGTATAAAGTTTAATCGGTGCATGACCTCCCTGGGAGTGTCTGTTGTTCAGGCTTTTGCTCTGGCAGTCCCATTAAAGAAATCCCTGATATATGTGGGGAGCAGACACCCTAGAATAAAGGGGGCAGCTCGCTCAGGCCATACCTAAGTCCAAGACGCTCGAGTCCAGTATGAGAGTCAGGCTACCAGAGCCACCTGTCAACCTAACGTCTTAACAGAAGTGGGGACCCAGAGGCTGAGCAATGCATGCTGTGTGTGGCTTTGTGGAGCAATGGATTTCAGCAGCACTGCTTACATTGGGTTTAGAACCTCTGCTTTGCACCGTGCTGTGCAGTTGAGCAAACATGCTCAGAGACGTTAGGTGACCTGCCCAGGTTCACGTAGGCCGGAAATGGAAGTGCTGCAATTTAAACTCCGCTCAGTCTGACCTATGCTTCCCCCACCACTGGACTCTAAGACTAACTGTTGCTGAGGGAGATGTTGAGAATACTTTTCCACCCCCAGAACAGACATGGATTAGCAGGAAAAGGAGAAGGCCAGGAATAGGCTGAGTGCTGAGTCAAGGGGGCTGGGATCCAGGCCTTTGTTGTGGAGAACCAGACTGGACCATCTAAGGAGAAACCTCGACAGCTGGCTGAGATTAATGGCCTCAAACCTACCCGCCCCTATGCCCGCCCTCTCCCCTGGAGCCAGTCCTCCCCTCGCCCCTGCTCAATCCTTCTCGGTCACGTCTACACCAATGACTGCCTCTCCCTTGTGCCTAGCCATGCCCTCCCTTCCCATGCAGCTCTCAGCCTCCACCAGCTGCCCAGGCTTCTACTGCCCTCCCAAATTCGCTCCCACCAAGACCTCCAAAGATTTCCTCCCTGCACGATCCACTAGGCACCCCTGGCCTCATCTCCCTAGACTCCCTTTTTTTTAAATCTCCATGCCTCAACTTCCATAACAATGCGCCCTCCTGGGTCTCCTTGGGTCCCTGAATTAACCTTCTGTTCTCCTCAAGCAATCCTTTCCCTCTGCCTGCCGCCTGAGATTGGTGTTCCCCAGGGTTTATCCTCCACTCACAGCTCTCCTCATGCTACACACTCTCCTTGAGAGAGCTCATCTACCTTCAGAATTTCAACTCTCACCTATGTACTAATGACCCTCCGCCTTGCCTCTACTTCCTAGACTCACGTATGCTTTGCCTATGGACAGCTCTTCCTGAACATCATGTGAGGTTTTAAATTCAAGTGTGTGTGTCTTTCAAGATATAATGCAATTGGTCCCTTCTGGAGTTGCACAGTGCACAACCTGCCCTATAGCACTCAGTAGGCCTGCAACAAGAACCTCGCATTCTACATAATCCAAGAGACACTAGATACCTTCCACTCTTCCCAACTTTTTCCTCTCAATCTTTCTGAGATTCTTAGTTTTATTCAATAATACCATCATCAGCTCAACCACCCAACCTGGAAATCTGAAGTCATTTCTGACTCCTCCAAGCTCTTCTATACTCTCTGCCTGGAAATCTCTTCCAGATCTCTTTGGCAGGCACAACTCTCCCAAACTTCTAACACAAAATTCAGATCCCACTTGTCCCAAGAAGTCTCCTGGCACCACCACTACCCCTCCCCAAACTTTGTTGGCACCCCTTCACCTGCAAACACGTATTATGCTATCTGTTTGTGGAGGAGTAGCCCTCTAACTGAGGGTTTTACAAAGGCAAGGACTATGATGTGGCTCCAGTGCTATATACAATAATTGGCACATAGTAGGACCTCAGTAATTATTGGTTGAGTGACTACATGAATGCAACCTTGACAGGATTATGTGGACAAGCTCATTTTGCTTTATCTGGAGATGCTCAGATGAGGTCCTGTGTACTCATCCCAGGACACCACCAGCCTGCCCAGGTGGCAGGATCTTGATGCATTTCCAGGGACCGATGAGAGAGGTCAGGGCTTCTCCATGAGGCTGCCTGCACCCAGGGTAAGGAGTGGCCTCCTCACGTCCTCCCTGCCTGGCCTGCTCTCACCTCCACAGAAGCAGCTCAGAGCCTCTTCCTCTGCCCCAGCCTCGTGTCCCCTCTGAAGTTTCAACTGAGGTTTTGGTAGCCAGTAGTGACCTTGAGCAGGACACCCTGAAGAGCCATTGAGAAGTTTCAGTAGGGTCAAGCAGTTCCTGTTTCCATCCTCTGGGTACTCCCCACCCAGGCCTGAGCCTGTCCACAGGCTCTTCCCCTTCTCTCCTCTCCATTCCCCCCTCACAAATCAGAACCCTTGGGAGCTTGAGGTCAAGCTTTGCTTCCCTGCTCATCGGTCCTGCCCCCTTAGGGCAGCCGCTGAGCCCTCGAAGGGTCCTCTTGATCTCCTGTCCCAATCAGGAGGGATGGTGCATCCATGTATATATGTACATCTCTAGATATTATGTGTGTCTCTGTGTGTCTCAATGGGTGTCTGTGTGTGTACATAGTTGTTTTCTATGTGCATGTGTGTGTGCATGTGTATAAACACGTACTTTCGTTGCCCGGCAGAGTGAAGCTATGGGCAGACACCTTCGGCAGGGACCTGTATAACACTGTGACCAAGTACTCAGGCTCTCTCCTGCTGCAGAAGGTCAGTAACCCTCTTCCAGGCACTCACAGGGTGGTGAGGAAGCAGGCAGCCAGGGACTTCCTCCTGGTAATGAAGCAGAGTCCTCTAATTCCTAAATGTCCATGCTGTAAGGGGTCTTAGAGATCATCTAATCCATTCTCCTCATTTTCAGAATGGGAAACTTAAGGCCCAGGGATTTGCCCAAGTCACAGAGCAAGTCAGCGGGGGCAGTACGGTGGAGTGGCCAAGAGCAGAGTGTCAGCTCAGATCTTCCAGAAGCTGATGCCAAGATGGAATTAGATGGGGAAGAGATTTATTTGGAGGATTCTGTGAAGGATAAAGGGAGAGGGAGCAGGTGTGAGCAGAGTGGGATGCAGACCTAACATCTGTGAACGGGGATGGGGAGGAAGGTGAAGGAGGTAAGCTCCCTGTGGGAGCTGCTTGGCTGGTAGTAGAGTGAGCCTCCCACTCACTTCCCTTATCTCAGGACCTCCAGCCATGTCCTACCCTGGAGGACGCCCACAGGGAGCCCTAGCCAAGGTCTAGTGACCCTGGCTCCTGGGCAGGAAGCAGGGCCTTGTGGACAGGGCGGTCGATGCACCAGCTCTGCCTCGCCTTTATTGATTAATTGCCTTATTGCAGATTGATACTGAGCCTGTCCTCTCACTGGATTATAAACAATCTCATTTTCTCTGATATTTGTAACTCGCAGACCGGCTTTAATAATGGCCTGCCATTCTCTATTATTACCATTTGCTAAGAGCTTTACATTCACGATTTCATTCTCACCACAATTTCATGAAGTGAGTACAATCTTCACCATTTTCTAAATGTTGCTAAGAGCAAAGCTCAGGCTTTTATGCCTGCCCGGGACCACACTTCCTCGGGTCACAGGGGCTGGAGGCAGTAACAGGGCCAGCGTGAGCGGCTTCCTGTCCCACGGCCCCTGCAGGCAGCTGCAGCAATGACAGCCTGAACCCACTTCCGACCCACGTGGAGCTTCCGCCCTATAAAGCGCCATGTCGTTTGATTTTCTCATTTGTGCCCTCCAACCCTGGGTGAGAACGACATCGCTGTGATGACGTGGCCGTTTTTAGTAAAAGCATTCTAGAGTGTGCTCTTAAGCCACGCAAATGCCACATCTCATAGTTGAGTTCACCGGTAACTCGCCTGAGGTCACAGAGCCACTAGGTTGCCACATGAGGTCATTAGACATTAGTGACACACAGTAGCTGAGAGTTTATATCTCCTGTGAATACTTGCAGCTGCTGCTAAGCTCTGCCCAGGCAGTGAGCGTTACAATTCACATGGGTGTGGGCAGGGGCACGCATCAGCAGGGCTGATACCATGGGGAATCACAGAAAGATGAACTGATAGCTCATAGACCCTGTGAGCAGCCCCAGAGAGGCACCATCAAAAAGTTGGAAATCGGGGAGACCTGGGCCATCCCAGGTCTTCTGTTCACTGGCTGTGTGACCTTGGTCAAGTTTGTTGACCTCTCTGAGCCTCAGTCTTCCCTTTTAAGGATATTAACCTCTATGTGTCCAGAGTTCCTGGAACATAGAGAACTTTGATAAGAGGCAGCTATTAATGTTAGTGGGGGAGATTATACAAGAAGAGGAGGATCTGTCCTTGCCTCTAGTTGAGTCAACAGGACTTCACAGATGTGAATGCAGTAGTTGAGGGGATGGAGGCCACATGCAATCATGTATAAGACAACAGGTGCCCATCTCTCCCACTTTCCTTGCACAGAAATACAAGGATGTGGAGCCCAGTCTGAATATCATGGAGGTGGATGGCTTAGAGCTGGTGAAGAAGTTCTCAGAGGACATGGAAGCCATGCTGCGCCGAAAAGTAGAGGCTGTCAAGGTACTCTAGGTTCTGTGATTTGTCAGGGGAGGGGCTTCTGCCCCAGGTCCCACAACACATTAGGGTTCACTCTTAGTGTGGTAAGTCTATAGGTTTTGACACATGCATCTACCATTATAGATCATACATAATAAGTTCACTGCCCTAAAAAATACTGTTTCCTGGCTAATCATCCCTCCCTCCCTCCCTCCCCACAAAACCTGGCTACCACTGATCTTTTTACTGTTTCCATAGCTTTGCCTTTTCCAGAATATCATGGGATGTAGGATATAGCCTTTTCAGACTGGCTTCTTTCACTGAGTAATATACATCTACCTTTTGGCCATTGTTGAGTAGTGTTGCTGTAAACAATTGTACACAAATTAATGTTTGAGTACCTCTTTTCAGCACTCTTGGGTATATTCCTTTTTTTTAAGATTTTATTCATTTATTCATAAGAAACAGAGAGAGAGAGAGAGAGAGAGAGAGAGAGAGAGGCAGAGACACAGGCAGAGGGAGAAGCAGACTCCTTACAGGGAGCCTGATGTGGGACTCGATCCCCAGACTCCAGGATCATGACCTGGGCGGAAGTCAGACGCTCAACCGCCAAGCCACCCAGGTGTCTCTCTTGGGTATATTCTGAGCAGTAGAAATTTTTGAAGACCTGCTGGTCTTGTTTTGCCTATTCATTCTCCTTTCATGTTCCCCTCCTGCAGAATCTGGTAGAGGCTGCTGAGGAGGCTGACCTGAACCATGAATTCAATGAGTCGCTGGTGGTGAGTCCTCCTGCTTCCACAGCTGCTGCTGGGAGGGTATAATGACCAATGGCCCAACCCCCACCAAGGACCAGGGTCACCTGAATACAAGATATGGAGGGGTGGAGTAGGGGGGAAGGCCAGAATTGTCTTTTATTGTGCACAGGATTTATATGAACCTATTATAGTTTGATTCTGAAATCCATTCAGTCTTTTGAGAAGAGATTTATGGACTAGGTAGGAGAAACAACTATCAAGACTTGGAGGGGGGTGGGGCAGGGGACAGAGTGGCAAGCTACCCATTCTACAAACATTTATTGCCCAACCACAGTGCACTAGCTTCTGCAAAGATGAAAAGTCAAGAAACTCATAGACTAAATACCTCTAGCATAAGGCATGTAACAGGTCCATGAGAGTTGATATAACTCTGTTTACAAGAACACAGAAGTTCCCTGGGGCAGAGGCTCAGAAACCCCTGCAGACAGGATGGCATTAGGGCCAGCCTTGGGCTGAGGGGAATCTGAGCAGGAAAGGCATGGAGAAGCTGAGGGAAAAGAAAAGACACTGAAATAGGAAACAATAGATTGATGAGATTGCTAATGGTCAGCTCTGTATGTCCAGGGGATCGTGAGGTAGAAAGTGACTATAGACAGATAGAAATCTGGCCTCAGCTCAGCCTAGAATGGCACATATTGAAGGATTTGAGCAGGGGAGGGACACAGCTGGATATGTGCTGTATCCAGTAGATAGTATCTTGCTGTCAGCAGAGTTGTGGCCTGGGGTGGAACATAGGGGTGTCCTAAGGGGGCTGTTCAAGATTTAAACCAGGTGTGGAGGGAGGGTGGAAGAGGGTCTGATTATGGCCCTAAGTGTGGTAATCCAAGTGGACCCTCCAACACTGCATGTTAGTACCAGAGAACACGCTGGTAGCTCCTCAGAGGGTACGGGAGGGGGGCACCCACTGGTGCTGCCTCAGGCCCAGGTTGCATGCTGTTTCTTTTTCTTTTTTCTTTTTTTAAAATATTTTATTTATTTATTCATGAGAGACACAGAGAGAAAGAGAGGCAGAGACGTGGCAGAGGAAGAGGCAGTCTCCTTGCCGGGAGCCCAATGTGGGACTCAATCCTGGAACTCCAGAATCATGCCCTGAGCTGCAGGCAGACGCTCAATGGCTGAGCCATCCAGGCATCCTTGCAGGCTTTTTCTTAAAGAGAGATGCCTCACCTTTCAGGGCTCATCATTCCAGGTCCCTAGGAACCTCCCCACGCTGGAAAAAAAATCGATGGTACCCATGAGGCTGTCACTGTCTCTTTACCTCACCTTGGATTTCTGGCTGCCTGTCTCTGGCTCTCATCGAGTCATACACACACATGCTCAACAGAGTGGGGAACTGAAGCAATCATCTAGACAATTTATATATAAAAAACATTTGAATCAACCAAGAACTCCAATATCTGGATATGTACTGTCTGTATGTGTGGTGCAGATTACTGCCTGAATTGTTCATAGATGTTGCTGGTCTGGATGCTGTCAGTGTGTCTGACCCTGTCTCTCATGTCAGAGTCCTCTGACCTGCACCATTTCTCTTTCTCTCTCTCACCCTGTGGGTCTCTTGTGTCCACGCCGGCTACCCTACTTGTTCCTGTCTGCCCCTAGTTTAACTACTACAATTCTGTCCTGATCAACGAGAAGGATGAGAATGGTGACTATGTGGAGCTGGGGGCTGAGTTTGTCCTCGAGTCCAATGCTCACTTCAGCAACCTGATGGTGAACACCTCCATCAGCAGCGTGCAGCTGCCCACTAATGTGTACAACAAAGGTAGCTCCCCGACTCACCCTGTGACTTGGCACTCTTTCTGAACAGTTTGTGCTTGCTAGGTGGTACTGTGCATTTTAATGCTTTGCTTCCATTTTCCTGAGAAGCCCTGCAGGGTGTAAATGGATTCTCCAACCTCCTTGACTGAGGAGAACAAGTAAAAGGATTCTACACAAGTCAGGGCTGGGAGAAAACTCAGTGTTACTGGAATGGAGGGTGTGAGAGTGGTTCCAAGTGCAGCATAATAGGCAATTATAAATAAAATCACTGCAGGTTGGGCTGTGTGTGTGTGTTCAGTGGGTGAAGAACTGGTCATTGTTGCTTCTGACTTAGTTTCCCCAGTAGTTCCTTCTATAATCTCTCCCTTTAGACCCAGACATTTTAAATGGAGTCTACATGTCTGAAGCCTTGAACCCTGTTTTTGTGGAGAACTTCCAGAGGGACCCAACACTGACCTGGCAATATTTTGGCAGCTCCACTGGATTCTTCAGAATCTATCCAGGTAGGGACTTTGGGAGGCATCTCCGTGGTCTTCTGGGCTTTTCTGGGAATAAGGCAATTGAGGCATTGAAGATGGACTCTGGCACTCAGACCCCCAGTGAATGGAAAGCATCTAACTGAAAGCATCTCCAACCCCCATTTTGACACTTCACAACATGTTAAGCACATTTACAATAAATAGCTGATAAATGAATGAATGAACGAATGAATAAAGCTATCAAACACTATGGTAACCAGCCAAATGCCCACATTAAACTCTTGTCCCATGAAAAGCACTATGGAAAATGCAAAGTAAGATAAAACAAGTCTTGATCTTAAGAAGTTTATATCCTAATTAGAGAAATAGAGTATACTCACTTGAAGTGCTCAACAGCAATGCAGAAAGTGTCACAGATTAGTATGTGATTAGTGGCCACCTTAATAGGTGACATGGGAAAGCTCCCTTGCCCATCAATAAAAATAGGAAACAGAAACATCTACCACAAGGATTGCATTCTGCTCCAACCCATTTTTGTATTTTAGCACACTGCCAGTAAAGTCTTGAGGTTGCCCTGTTTTTCTAAGTCAGGAAATCAGAGAAATCCTAAAGGAATCCTTTGTGTCCCCAGTCTGGAAAAGCCAGTTCCTCCACAGAAGCCTATAGGGTTCCCATTGTCAACATAACCTTGTTTCTCCATCCCATCCACAACCAGTCACTGGTTCTTTTTCTGCTCTCCAGAGCCTCAGTGAGCAAGCTCATCCCTCTTCTATGTAATAACCCTTCAAATGCTTGAAGACAACTCACATGCCTCCTGGGTCTTCTCCGGGGCAGAATTCCTGCAAATATTTCTGTCACATCAGGGCTTCCAGAGATATCAATTTGTATGCAAACAATGCAAAGAAGGGGGCAATTTCTCACACCCATACCCACATTTACAGATATGTGTCAGCCCTCAAGTGGACAGGGTTGGGTTGACCGTAATCCTTGATCATGGTATGCTGTTCCCATGGGTCCTATCTCGATTTATTTCATTCTACTTTTAATTTTTTTAATAATATAATGAATACTTGTATATACATCACCAATACAAAAACTAGAATGTTAACAAACCTCTATCTACTTAATAGGCTCCTCCTCTGATCTGCCCTTGACCCCAACCTGCCCCAAATCCCACCCTCCCCAGCTAACCAGGTAATAGCTATCCTGCACTCTCAACTTATCCCTCCATTTGAATTTTTTGGCTGTCTGCTTATTTAGTCTTATCTCATATTGACAAATGCACATACACATCCACTTAATATATTAGTTTGTTTCACTCATTTTTGAAATTTACTAAACTGGTTTTATGTTTAGACTCTCAGAGCTTGCTTTTTCATTCAGTATTATACTAGCGACATTCATCTGGGTTGTCACATATATCTGTACTTTGTCATCTTTGTTCCTGTATCATATTCTTGGGGGCCAATATATCAGTTTATTCATCCTCCTCATCCTATCTGGGTTGTTTGCAATTTTTGTTTTTCTTCTCTGTTTTTGTTTTGTTTTGTTTTACTTTTAAGAACAGTATTGCGGGATGAGCACTGGGTGTTATTCTGTATGTTGGTAAATTGAACACCAATAAAATTAATTTATAAAATTAAAAAAAAAAAGAACAGTATTGCTATGAATGTCCTTATCATGAGTCCTGAGACATATTGTAAGAGCTTCTCTTGGGTGTATACCTAGGGATGGAACTGCTAGATTCATAACTGTTCAGCTATGGCAAGAAAGTGCAAAATTGTTTTCCAAAATGCTGGCACCAATGATATTCCCACCAGCCATGAGTAAGAGATTCTGTTGATCCACATTTTCTCAAACCATGGGTATTGTGAAATGTTAACCATTTTTTATAATAACACTTTAGTATAAAATGGTGCTTCACTGTGGTCTGGCATTGCATTTCCTCTTCCACTTGTGAAGTTGAATGTCTCTTCATATGTCATTTGTTGCATGTATTTCTTCTTCTGTGAAATGCCTATTATGTCTTCTAATTGTTTATTGCCTTTTCTAATGTTAACCCAGCTTCACATTTTTATGAAAACCTAACTCAATCATAACAAATTAGTCTTTTATGCATTGCTGGATTTAGTTTGCTAGTATCTTGTTTAGGATTTTTTGCATTGGTCAGTGAAATGGTCTTGTAATTTCTTTTTCTGATACTGTCTTTGTTTTTCAAAATTATACTAGCTTCATAGAATAAGCTGGCAAGTATTCCCTCTTTTTCCAATTTTTAAAAACATTTAAATAAGTTAGAGTGATTTTTTTTTGCCTTGAAAGCTTGTAAGGATTCATCTATAAAACCATATAGACCTGGGATGCCTGGGTGGCTCAGTGGTTGAGCATCTGCCTTCCACTCAGCGCATGATCCTGGAGTCCCAGGATCGAGTTCCATATCGGGCTCCTTGCAAGGAGCCTACTCCTCCCGTCTCTGCCTCTCTCTCTCTGCCTTAAATCTTAAAAAAAAAAGATTTTATTTACCTATTCAGGAGAGACGCAGAGAGAGGCAGAGAGAGAGAGAGAGGCAGAGACACAGGCAGAGGGAAAAGCAGGCTCCACGCGGGGAGCCCAATGTGGGACTCGATCCTGGGACTGGATCATGCCTAGCTGGAAGGCAGGCGCCAAACCTCCGAGCCACCCAGAGATCCCCCAAATAAAATCTTAAAATTAAAAAAAAACAAACAACATATAGACCTGATGTTTTCTTTATGGGAAGATTTTAAATTTTAAATTACCATTTCATTATGTTTAATACTTGCAAGACTAATAAGATTCTCTTATTAGAATATACTAATGTATATTAATAAATATACAATGTCCAATTTTCCCAGCACCATTTATTGAAGAGACTGTCTTTCTTCCAGTGCTAGTATATTTGTTCTTCTTATTTGGGTAAAATACTTTTTCTAAGATTCCATCCATTTTGTCTTAATTTTCAAAACTATTTCCAGAAAGCTTTTATTCTATTATCTTTTTAATCTCTTCTGTATCTATAATTATTTCCCCTTTTTATTTATAGTATTATTTTTTCCTTCATCATTCCACCACTCGTTTCTCTATTTTGTTAGTCTTTCTCAGGAATCATCTTTTGTCTTCATAAACTGCTCTCTTCTTTGTTCTCTGTGTCATGTTTCAGTTCTGACTTTATCTCCTCTTCACCATTTCCTTGGGTCTGTTGTTCTTCTTTCTTTTTTTTTAAATAATAAATTTATTTTTATTGGTGTTCAATTTGCCAACATACAGAATAACACCCAGTGCTCATCTTGTCAAGTGCCTCCCTCAGTGCCCGTCACCCATTCACCCCCACCCCCCGCCCTCCTCCCCTTCCACCACCCCTAGTTCGTTTCCCAGAGTTAGGAGTCTTTATGTTCTGTCTCCCTTTCTGATATTTCCTACCCGTTTCTTCTCCCTTCCCTTCTATTCCCTTTCACTATTATTTTTATTCCCCAAATGAATGAGAACATACACTGTCCTTCTCCGATTGACTTACTTCACTCAGCATAATACCCTCCAGTTCAATCCACGTTGAAGCAAATGGTGGGTATTTTTCGTTTCTAATGGCTGAGGAATATTCCATTGTATACATAGACCACATCTTCTTTATCCATTCATCTTTCGATGGACACCGAGGCTCCTTCCACAGTTTGGCTATTGTGGACATGGCTGCTAGAAACATCGGGGTGCAGGTGTCCCGGCGTTTCATTGCATCTGTATCTTTGGGGTAAATCCCCAGCAGTGCAATTGCTGGGTCCTAGGGCAGGTCTATTTTTGACTCTTTGAGGAACCTCCACACAGTTTTCCAGAGTGGCTGCACCAGTTCACATTCCCACCAACAGTGTAAGAGGGTTCCCTTTTCTCCACATCCTCTCCAACATTTGTGGTTTCCTGCCTTGTTAATTTTCCCCATTCTCACTGGTGTGAGGTGGGATCTCATTGTGGTTTTGATTTGTATTTTCCTGATGGCAAGTTATGCAGAGCATTTTCACATGTGCATGTTGGCCATGTCTATGTCTTCCTCTGTGAGATTTCTCTTCATGTCTTTTGCCCATTTCATGATTGGATTGTTTGTTTCTTTGCTGTTGAGTTTAATAAGTTCTTTATAGATCTTGGAAACTAGCCCTTTATCTGATATGTCATTTGCAAATATCTTCTTCCATTCTGTAGGTTGTCTTTTAGTTTTGTTGACTGTATCCTTTGCTCTGCAGAAGCTTCTTATCTTTTTTTTTAATTTTTTAAAATTTATTTATGATAGTCACACACACACACACACACAGAGAGAGAGAGAGAGAGAGAGAGAGAGAGAGAGGCAGAGACACAGGCAGGGGGAGAAGCAGGCTCCATGCACCGGGAGCCGGACGTGGGATTCGACCCCGGGTCTCCAGGATCGTGCCCTGGGCTAAAGTCAGGCGCTAAACCGCTGAGCCACCCAGGGATCCCCAGAAGCTTCTTATCTTGATGAAGTCCCAATAGTTCATTTTTGCTTTTGTTTCTTTTGCCTTCGTGGATGTATCTTGCAAGAAGTTACTGTGGCTGAGTTCAAAAAGGGTGTTGCCTGTGTTCTCCTCTAGGATTTTGATGGATTCTTGTCTCACATTTAGATCTTTCATCCATTTTGAGTTTATCTTTGTGTCTGGTGCAAGAGAGTGGTCTAGTTTCACTCTTCTGCATGTGGATGTCCAATTTTCCCAGCACCATCTATTGAAGAGACTGTCTTTCTTCCAGTGCATAGTCTTTCCTCCTTTATCGAATATTAGTTGACCATAAACTTGAGGGTCCACTTCTGGATTCTCAATTCTGTTCCATTGATCTCTGTGTCTGTTTTTTGTGCCAGTACCACACTGTCTTGATGACCACAGCTTTGTAGTACAACCTGAAATCTGGCATTGTGATGCCCCCAGATATGGTTTTCTTTTTTAAAATTCCCCTGGCTATTCGGGGTCTTTTCTGATTCCACACAAATCTTGAAATAATTTGTTCTAACTCTC